ACCCAACCAGTTCTTGATCTGTGTACGTAAAGCCTTAACAAAGTCTTGGCATTGAGACCTGCTGGTATTTACATGTAGCTTTCTTCAAGACTGAATACATGTACAGGTACATGTACATACATGTAGATCGTTATAGGTTTTCAAAGAAAGGAGAAGTTTTGATGCACTGGTTGTGTTGGTTGAACTTTAGTTATACAGGAATGTTTGTTGGACCTTTTCAATATTTTAAGGAGTTTTCATTGCTTGTAAATTTTATAATGAAGTTAAAGTCCTTTATAATATGTCATTTAGGAATCAGTTCTTGGCTGTCTATATGTAAAATGCGTACATGTAAATTACACTCAGTTTACAAAACGTAAATGAAACAGACATGGCATGCAGACTTTGCAAAAACTTTTGACACTTGTGATTTCATTTTTAAAATTCAAGGTACATGTACGAGTAACTTGAGGCCAAGGTTGCCCCAGAAACTATGGACAAGGAGCCAGCGGGGACAGATCCATCTTCGGCCGTCATCAGCGAGTCAGCCAACGTGGTAGTGCAACGCCTGTCTACGGGGAGTCCTCTGTGGAACTTGACAGCCACAGATGGCGAGACGGAGACTGAGGGGGAGGTAATGGACTTCCCCTTCCCCCATTTTGCCCTGAGATCATTGCTGGCGGGCGGCGCTAAGGATTTAATTCATGATGATGCTTGCGTGGACGTTGCTCGTGGGATGGTTTGTGACAACATTTCTTTCTGTTGTTTTCAGTTTGGTGTGCGTTTTCATCTTCTTTGCCGTGTACTTAGTTGTTTTTCATGCATCCGCAATTTTGTGCTTGTCAAATTGACCTGCATTAATGTAGAAGTCTTTACCCCAAAATTTCCAAGTTGAAAGACTTGAATTTAAATTTTGTCAAAATTTAAGATTGCGGTCTCGTCAGTGATCAGTTTTTCTCCAGCAGTGTCAAAATAATAAGTACTTTTTTGTGTCAAAAGAACAAGGTTTTAACCTTGCTTCAAAATTGTCAGTTTATTATTTAATGCCAGTTTCTGTCATGACTGTGTTCTAACCATTGTTTTTAATTGCTATTTTAAGTATCACCTGTCATTAAAACTTCTGTTACCTGAAGTTCTTAGCACCCCAAGTGGCCCTTTTAACAAATGAACAATTGTTAAAGTTTACCTTGTTCTTTTCATTAATATACATGTAGTTGTTTTGAGAGGTGTTTTTTGGGGAGGGGAGTTACCTTCTTTGCAGTGGACACTACGTGCTGTGATGTTATTTCAACAAATTGTATATTTAAACTATCCACACCATCAATTTTCTCACCCATGCTTTTGCTCAAGGCCACAAAATGCTTGCAAAACTGACATTTAGCATTTACACAGAGGCATTTCACCCATATCCATTCATAAGTAATTTGGAAAATTTTCCAGTTACAGTGTAAGTGGTTCTCAAGTCATGCTCTTGATACCGTCCTTCCCACTCCCCCAATAGAGTAGGACTAATTTGGAGGCTTCATCCCTAACCTGGACATTTCAAATTCCATATCAGCAAGTACATGTATCTGTAGTCCTAACAACCTCCAAATTGCCTACATTGACCAAAAAACCCAGTAGCACATTCATTTTGCAACTTGCACACAGTCACTGTGATAGTGAGAGAACTCATCCCTTGTTATCTGAAAACTTGCATCCCTCTACTGGATGTTTGTTGGATTTGGGTTCATTCCCTAGTCTCACCCATGATCAGATGATGGAAAAAGTTTTGACAGAGCGTGCAAACCCAACTCATGCAACCTTTTTCTAATAGATGGGTTGCATGGCTGCCATCTTGAAAGTCAGTGCTTTTGCCCCACCGGGTATGCTAAAAGAAGGTTTCCCTGTGGAACAAAAGAACTGCCCTGCAAGATGGCTGTCAAGCAAAGCATTCATTGGTAGCAATTTTTACATGATCTTTATCAATTCTAGACCAAAGAGGATGCCAGTCTGTTCAACATTCCCAGCTCTACATCCCTCCTCACCGAGGCCCAGATCCACCAGATCGACTGTGCCCTCTCGGTTGAGGGACCCCAGGCAGACCCCAAGGCTGGCAGAGCCCAAACCCCAGAGTTGATCAGGGAGGGGTCAATGGAAGGCGGGGCACCAGGGAAGACAGAGGAGAACTCCGAGAGCCAAGAAGGCTTCCCAAGCGGGATGGTCAGCGTGGGCAGCTCCGAGAGCCTGGCGCGGTTTGTCAGCGAGGAAAACCCCATGCTTAACGAGAATGATCAGTTTAGTCATCAGCTGCTAATGAATGCATCAAGTAAAGATTGAAAATCATGTGTTGAGATCATTGTCCCGTAGGATACATTAGAAAAAGAGCTTCATAATGATGTACAAGGTTGCTGGTATGAATTACATGTAATAATAAATTGTTTGAACTTTCAGGAAAATGATGGTCAGCATGGTTAAGGGAATTGTTTCCTTTGCATAAATATTTGAAATAGTACTTTTGAACATGAGTATTACTTTATGCCGGTAGGTCTGATTGAGTTTACAGAAATGGGCTCAGGGAATGATTTCAGAGATTAATGTTCACATGCTGGCAAAAGAAGGTCGTGCTCATTCTGTGAGGATTAAAGACAAAAACTGACACCATTCTCGGTTTATCTGTTATTTGATTCAGGTGATTCTCTCAAATTGGACATCCCAGGGGTTCTGGACCTCTCAGGTGAGAGCCTTGAGACAAGACAGCTCCTTGAAGAGGTCATGAACTCTGAACTCTTGGAAGGGGTCATCAAGAACGAGTGTCTAGATGGTCAAGTGGCCGCCACTGCTGTGGTGACCACAAGCGACGGAGATACATCAGCTGGGGAAGGCATCAAAGAGAAGGGGCATGCTGGTGGCAGAAAGAAGCACAGTAGCACTGAGAAGGCTATACCGCTGAGAAGGAGTGAGAGACACAAGAAGGCTGAGCAATCCAAAGTGGAGGCATCTCAGGAGGCACAGAAAACAGTGAAGAAAACTGGGGTGAAAGAGAAAGAAGGGAAAGTTGTCTCAAGACAGGTTGACGAGAAGAAGGAAGATAATAAAAAAGATGTGAAAAAGGAAAGGGTCTTGGAGACCAAAGATGCGACAGCGACGAGAAAGAGCCAAAGATCCAAAACCAGATTGGAGCAAGAGAAACATGCAAAGGAGGAAGAATCTGAAGATGGATATGAACAGGATAAGGAAGCTCTAGGATCATCGGAGAGCTCCAAAGAAAAACAGCACACCAGGCGGAAGCGAAGCTTTCATAAACGGAAGCAGAGCAAGGGAGAGGAGACTGACTCTGATCTCGAGGATGGCAAGAAGACCCTGAAAGAGATCCAGGAGGAGCTGAAGAGCAAGAGGCAGGCCAAAGCTCTCAAAGAAGGCCATCAAGTGATGCAGGAAGTCCCAGATACCAGTAAAGTTGGTCCCAAGCCTGCAGATGCCCACAAAAAAGAAACTAGGAGACGGAGCGAAGATGCCCAACATGCCAGGTCAGATCACACCTATGAGAGGCGGCGATCGGGATCAACATCAGAACAAGGGCCTTCCCTCTTTACCCCTGACAACGCTGTCTTCATCAAATTGGGCACTCCGAGAGATGGGGAAGGAGAAAGAAGAAACCGCTCCTCTGAGAGAAGAAAGGAAAGAACAAGGTCTTGGAGTGAATTGAGAAGTCAAGGTAAGAACTGCTTCAGCTTTAAGGCAGGTTTGTACTTCAGGCTTCAACTTCTTGAGCAGTTGGCATAATTTTACGAAATATGCTAAGTGGGAATCAAGTTTTCTTCGAAGATTTCATCTGTTTTACATCTGCTTTGTTGAAGATATTGAGGAAGGGGACTTGTCATCAGATGGCATTGGAGAGGACGATGACAATGATAGTGACTGGACCAGCGGTGACGATCCAGAGAAGCTATGGTGCATATGCCGCAAACCTCACGACAACAGGTAAGTTTCGTCCCTATAAGCAGGCCGTTTAAACTTCTCTGTTACATACCTTCATCGAGCATAACTGAGCAATCCAAAAGATTGAGAGAAGTACTTTGGTAAGCTTGCTTGGGTGAGGTGGAACCCAAGCCGTACATCTTGCAAGATGGTAAGACTCGACTACTAAGTTCACTTGTCTGTTACCGGTATCTCGTTTCAACCTGGTGTAGGAAAGGATATCAGCCTTGTTCCATGTAGGAGGTGGTAATAAATTTTGCATTTGTTTGGTTTTGTATCCACCAACCAACGTGTCATTTTGTCATTTTTGTAGTAGGTAAATCAGTGATTTTGCATGTTGAGCTTCATATACGTAGTGACCTCATCTCTGCCCATTAATGTAATTATTTAAAAACCTGGTCCTCTAAATTGTTTAATTCTGCATATTTAGGTTGGTTTGTAGTCTTGTGGTGCTCAATACATTTTTATGTTGAAATTAACAGATTTTTAAACTGAGTGTACGTTACCTGTACCCTGTTCAGTGCAACACATGTACATTGTAAATAAAATGATTTGAAATGTTCAAATTGTCCAGTGAGTCAGGATTTTAAGCATCTCTTGTATCAACAACCATAAAGGAAGGACACAGAAGGAGTTTGAACTTCCCGGGCTGTAACATCTGGCCAGTTACCGCTTTCTGGCATGTGTGGTATGTCCGTAGCCAGAGTGCAGCGAGCGTGTACTACACACCATCTATTTCACAGCCACGAAAACCCTTTGTACTCTATGATCGCCGCCTCAATTTTTCGCTGATAATTTGCAGCCTTAAAACTTTTTGTACTGAAGTATAGGAAACGGAATATTCATGCCTTAATAACAATATTCATGCCGTCATAACAACGTGTAATTGAATGCTTTCGCAGTTGCTTGTGCTCCGCCGTGTGACCTAAATGTGCATTTGCAGTTGGTGCCCTAAACCACTTCCTGCTGGGTGGAATTTGTATATGCGGGACAAGTTTCTGGGCCATTTTTGAGATTTTCCATTTTCAAACTTCTTTAATTCATAACTTCATTAGCTAGACGTTTACACCCACACGAAAATCTTTCTTGCGGCTACTCTAATCTGACAGGCAACCTCCATTGACGCCCGAGTATTGCGATGTCACCGCGTATCTTGCATCAAATGCGTATTGCAGCCAGGCCTGCCGCCAGGTAAAGAGAGCCCACATTTTGCAGTGTTGCGTAATTTCCTTTGGGCTCCTGAAATTGGCCCAGTGCATTGCTGAATGGAAGTGGTGTCTTTTCAAATGCGGCCAGATTAGCGTGCGGCGGTACTTTATCGCTCATCACTGGAGCACTTTTGTCCCCGCTGATAATCAGCAAGATCTGAATGCCACAAACAGTGGTATACTGTTTAAAAACAATGACGGATTACCTCCACTAATGCCAATTGAAAAATGATGGCAATTCCCAGCAGCTCGTTTTTTTTTTCCTAAGTACTGTCTTTTGTTACATGGCCCAGCTGCTTTGTCTGATTTCAGGCGCCCTGGATATGCGTTGAAAACAAGTGGTTAATGAATGCTTTCTTTCAGAGTTATTTTGGCAATAAATTACAGGTACATGTACTGCGTTGTTCACAAGATTTTGTGTTTTGTCTGAATAGTTTTGTCTGAATAGCAGCATTTTAGTAAAAGTGTATTTTACAAGATCTCATGATCACCCCCTGTGATGAAATGTTGCATTTTGTTCCTTATGAACTTAGCTTTCTAGTAGTAGTCAACATTTTGTTTGCCAGTCTTAGCCAAATTCGTACTAAATCTTAGAAAATTGATGTATTGGAAGAAGAATAAATTTACAAACCATATGGATTTTAAAACAGTGTATCAACATTTTAAAAAGTTTATTCACGATGGCGAAAGTAGGTCTAACATCAGGGATTTTTCTCTCTTTAATTCTTGGTCACAGCAATGATTTGTATTTAATTGCAAGCAAAACACTACAAGTATTGCTAGGATATTACTGGCCCCGCTTGTCCAGCTAAGATGCAGACAGTAATCAGGCATTTTTGGAATGTTGTGTATTATTCGTCTGACTGCAGCGGTGATCATCGAGCACTTTAACCACTTCCTGCTGGGGACTCCGTAATTGGAGACGTATGGTTTATATGCGTGGCCGGGGTCTCCGAACTCGGACAAAGGAAACAGGGCCCTGTAACAAAAGACCATACTCCGAACAAAAGACATGGTTGCTGGGCATTACCGGCATAAATGCACACCCACAAATACTGATAGTGGTCCATGATTTTCTCTTGCATAGGCCACAAAGGGTGGGAGTATGTAACACCTTCTCAGATGTTCGTATAATTAGCATTGGTATCCCACAGGGTTGCATTCTGTCACCGGTGTTGTTTTCATCATACACTACTGAATGTGTTAGCACAGACGACCATTGTTCAATTATTATATATGCTGACGACACAGTGATCTCAAGTTATCTTCCAGAGGAGACAAATGCAAAACGTTACTTTTCAGTCGTTGATAAGTTTGTAGATTACTGCGACACATTTTTTTGCAGTTGAATGTCATGAAAACAAAAGAAATGATTATGGACTTTAGGAAAAATAAAGGAAATGAACAAACAGTGACCATTCATGGAAGTGTAGTTGTGCAGGTTTCAGAATACAAGTACCTGGGTACCAAAATTACCAGTTATCTTGATTGGTCACGTAACACAGTTGCTGTACAAAAGAAAGCAAATTTATTGTGTAAGTCATTTATTCAGTCCATACTCCTATTTAATTTGTTTCTACCTTAACGTTACTAAGCAAAACAGGGATAAAATGGATCAGCCTTGGAAAACAGCTCAACAAATTATTGGCTTGGAATTACCCACTCTTGAAAGTCTGTACATTGATAGAACCCTGTCCAAGGTAAACAGTATTATGCAAGACCCATCTCATCCTCTACTTAACAATGACAGTATCAACAAATCAGGACTGCGCCTGTGTGTTCCCCTTAGCAACAAAGCTCGTTATAGACAGTCATTTGTACCGGATTCAATTCATTCCTTCAACAGTAAAGTTACTAGATGAACACTTGCTGCATAGTCTTTCGACGGGTGTACATTAATTCAGTTGTGACTTTTATGTGAAAATTAATTTTTGTTCTATTTGTGAAACGAGTAATTTTGAATCATACAGTTTATAATGTGTTTTTGCAAATTCTGGTGGATAGGGTTGATATGTAGTATCTTTTTGTGGGGAAATGTTGATATGTTTTGTGTTTAAAATCCAATATAAGACAAATTTCTGTATGGACAATAAAGGTATCAAATCAAGTGCCAGACCACAGTAATAACCAGTTACTATCGCTCCACTGAACACTGTAAGATAAGCTTATATTTTTCTCAACACATGTCTTTCATGAAGTTAATCACTAATGCTGAATTTGATTTTAATGAAGATATCAAACCATATTTTCTAGTTTTAATTGCATAAATTGGTGCAGAAACATGACAAACGCACTGTACATGTAAACCCTGAAACTGAAGCAAAGTGAGTAACCGACACTGTTTACATTGGTAGAGCTGGCAGGACTGGCCTCCTGCAGCCTTCATAGATAAAGATGATGATGTCACCTTCCCTGCTTCAAAAAGAACGAAATCCTAGTTTCAGAGGGGACTACATTTTTAAAAGAGAAATTCGCCTCATGAATGTGTTCAGTGTACATTATTTTTACCATATTTTAAATATGAATCAAATTTAATGAATTTTTGAAACAGTTGATGATTGGCTCTTGACAGCAAATTAGTAATCCATATGAAGACGATGGAATACTTAGGAATAATGGTGCTGTTACTGATGAGCACAAATTCAAATTTGACCTGCAGTTCCAGAGATGAGTGGGCCATTGATGGTACTTATACCTTGGGGGTTGAGTTCATGAATAATTCAAATACATTTCTTAGCTTATCACAGTCCTACCAACATGAACGGGTTTGCAAGCTGTTCAGTCTCAAATACATCTCATGAATAATTCATGATTGAATTTTGTAGTGTACATGCAGCACAGCCCCAGTCGCAATCCCAGACATGTACATGTAGGTGATACTGATGTGCAGGTGTAATTCAGATTTGTGGATGCCGGCTACCTAGACATTTACATCAGATAGACCTTGTCATTCTTGAGGTGTACTCTACATATTCTTTAGACCCTCCCCTTTGATTAATAAACTACGAATTATTCGTTGTGCAGCACTTACAAATTAAGCTTCACCCAAGACCTTCCCACACATGAATAATTCATATTTTCCATAGTGAAGTAGCGAATTGTCTTCCTTTGGACAAGCCCGTTTTATGAATAATTTATGTTTATTTTTCAGTGTTGGCAGTTTAAATATACATATGCATACTATTATGACATGTTTATACATGTCACCTTTGCATGCCAGTACGGTGCCTTGCATCTGAAGTCATGGACATGTACATGCATACCACAGTGCATGTACGGTGTACATCATGTACAGCATGAGCCATTTTGCTGGAACGTGCACATTGCATGACAGCATAATGACATTAGTGAAGAACGACCCATAGAAGCCAGCTATGGCGATATCACAAATTTACAGTGTAGTGTTACCCACCGATCCAATTTTCAATGCTGTATGCTGAGGTTTCTGAGAGGCAGGAATAAGTACATGTACGGTAACGGCTAGCTAATGTACATTATCATATGGCTTGCTGCATTGAAGGTTTTGGTAGGTCTTATATAATTCACAAAGGCTGTATTTGGTTTAGTACATAATTAAAGAAGAGTTTTGGTTGGTGGTGCTGCTTTACATAATGTTTGTGAGAATAAATGAAAATTTATGATAAAATGATTGTGGAACAAGTACATGTACATGTATATATGTATGGGTCACATCTAAACAAATGAGATTTCTTAGTTGATAGGGTCCTGAGTGGGAGGCAACAAAGTCATGTGAAAATGACTCATGGTTAGAAAGCTTGCATTTAGAGTGTTTGATTGTGTATATTATGAACCCTCATAGTGTTAACTTTGACAGAATTTAGACCACAAGGCAAGGAGAATATGCCTGTAGCTGACATAGACTGCAATGAAAGGTGATCTCAAAATGTTAACGTTCTTGTATATGTTCAGCAGACAAATCGATTTTACAATCAATTTTTTTGGGGGGGGCCTTCATTTTGACATCTTTATGCACACTGTTCCGCTTGTGTAAAATTGGATGGAATTATTAATATATACTGGCACAGTGTACATGTGATGTTTCCATATGGCACCTGTGCACGTTGCACATATGGTGCAGAGGGCTGGAGTGTGATAGGCACTGCATTGAACGCTATGGCAAGAATTCTGTGATATCCTCCTTGTTGTCCTGTTGTGTCAATAGATTAATCTATTTTGCCAGAATTTAACCAGCAGTGTTTGTTTCCCATGTAGACAGTAATTGCCTTGTTCTGAATTTCCAAAATGTTACACCAGCTAAGCTTCTTGCACCATTATTATTAATTGTCACATTATTTGTATGCATGCATCAGGTACATGCGTAGTACGGTACCGTCATTTTTGTTAATGTTTGAAGTAAATTCATTTTTGCATTGACATGTGAAATGCAATGAATTGTATAATTTTAGAGGTAAGCAGGCCTACCAGTACTGTGAATATTTTTGTAAACATGAACATGTTATTCAATATGGGTGTAAACCAGGGCCTTTTTCCAATACTCGACTTCAGCTCTGTCCCAGGCTTCAACTGTATTTTTACTACCTGACTTTGAAGTTGTAAGCGCAGTGGTCAGTCAGATAGTGCCACAAACCATCAAGTAAGATGCAAAAGAGCAAAATATTATCGTAGTTCAATTTAATTTAAACGCTTCAGGCCCACAATCGGGGATTGGTTTCTCAGACAAAGCCTGAGATGGAGACAAAGTTGAGTATTGGAAATCGGCCCAGGAAAAAAGAAGCGATTGAGGTAACTTACGGAGCACGGAGACAAGGTGGATGCAAGACGACCTTTAAAAATACTGAGCCAAACTGCAACGGAGCTTCTGTCTGTGGCATTTCTAATTTATAGCCGTAACAATGGATTCTGACTCGGTGAATATATGAGAAGACATGCCCCCTTGCTAGCCAGGCATGACTGGCATTTCAATCCCCTTTTGATTACACCCCAGCCGGATGCGCTCCCACTTGTGTGTACATACATTCTTTGATAGGTCCACTTCCACGTGTACATTAAACATGTTTGATAGTTGTAGGTACCGGTATTTGGGTATAAATTGAAGCACATAACTGCATTTCAGCTGATGTCAGGAAGTCGAATGCCCAAACAGAATTTAAGAGCCTGATTTGCCAGAGCTGCTAACCAGATAAAGCTAATTTATAGGCTTGGGAAAGTTAAGCTGGGGAACCAGCATGCATTGAGTGATGTTTTCAGCTGGCAAACAGGTCGCTGATGCTGAGGAGAGGGAATCTGCTTATGTAACCAATAGGGAGCAGTACAGTTGTGACTTGATTGGTTTTGTTCAGGTTTATGATCTGCTGTGACCAGTGTGAAGAGTGGTACCACGGGTCGTGCGTTGACATCACCAAGACTGAAGGCAAACGACTGAATCGGGAAAAGCTACAATGGATATGCCCAGTCTGCATCGGTGAGAGAAGAAAGATCTCATTCCATGGGTTGCAAATGTTGCTGTTCACCCACCCAAATGGAAACACATTTGTTGACATTACAACCTTTTACCTTGTTTATACTGCAGCAAAATGGGCTGAAGTTTATGATTTGATAATTGGGTTAACGCTAACATTCCAACCTAACCAAAAACTAATGTTAGGAAGGAGCCAGTGGCACACGCTTTAGATATTCATAACGTAAGAGAACAAGAATAACTTGAAATTAATGATTTCAGGGCTTACTCTTGTCCTAAATCTACAAAAATAGAGCGAAATGAGGGCTGGATTTCAGCGTGTCTTAATATTTGGTTTTGACAGAGAAAGCAAAACGAGAGAGTAAGAGGGAAATGAAGAGTGCCAAGGCAGGAGAAACAACCAACCCTCCCGCCGAGAAACCCATAGACAAACCCGCCCCTCAGCCAACCCCGGAGAAGGCCGCCAAAGAGAGCGCTGATGTCAAAGGTGAAGAGGCAGATATCAGCAAACCTGAGTCAAAGGAAGGAACTGAGAAGTCCCCGGAACCTCCGCATTCCACCAAGAAAAAGAGGCTGAAATTCTACAAGGTTGGTCATTAAAACATAGCTTGTTAGTTGGCATATTGAAACAGGCTCAAGTTTGACATCATGTAGTTTTTAACTTTATGGACAGTTTTGTACAGTTTGGGAATATTTGTAAAAACTTAATTTCTCAAGCTATTTTTTTTCGCCCCCCCATATTTTTTTTGCCCTGACCCATCAAGGTCATTCAAAGTTCATATAAGTTGATAGTCACTTTCACTCTCTCAGCATCTTCAAGACATTCAAAACTTCCTGAGTATTTGAAAGATGTATAAAATCACATAGACACTGTCAAATTGCCTTGAGCATCTCCAGGAATGGATGGCCTCTAATTTGTTAAAGCTCAACTGTGACAAAATTGAATTTCTTGTACGCAAGCACGGCTGTATTCGTTGGATGTCTCTCTCACTCTATCGGACATTTGCATTCTTCCAGCATCCACTGCTAAAAGTCGCGGTGTCGAGTTTGATTCAGCTCTTAAAATGGAACGACGTGTTTCATTTCTATGTCACGGACTCCATTACCATCTTTCTAATATGCAAGTATCAGATCATACCTAAGTGCTAATGTATGTGAGCATGCTATCCGAGCTATTGTGTTGTCCCAACTTGACTATGCTAATTCACTACTGTATGGATGTCAACTAGTAACCCTAAAACAGTCTAACGTGATCAGAACGCTTCTGTCATGAAATTGGACGGACGAACAAACGACCAAAACAGGCCGAATTAACTTCAAAGAAAGAAAACGTAAAGAAAAAACGTTTAATTGAAAATGATAAATAAACAAATTGAAATTATGTACAGTAAGTACAAAGAAGTAATTGCCAGTGCCATTGGTATACCCAGACCTTATTCAGAGTCATTGGGTGCCTTTCATGGGAACAAGGATCATCTACAAAAATTGAAATGACCCAAAGCTCTTCAAATCTCTGTCCTTTTTTTGATGAGTTTTGATCGATTTCCAAAAATTGAAACAAAATCCACACAAAACATTACAAATCAACTACCAACCCTTTCTGCATTTCAATGGATCTTGGCCAAATACTTTTGCGAGGCAGAAAACACGTCACAATAATATAACATTTAAGCACATTCAGTCTTCATACAAATCCAACAATATGAACGATGTAAAACTTACAGTAATCCGGGGGATCGTGCACTTAAATTTCAGGCGGAAGCTGTGTGGAGACTGGTCAATTCCTTAGGGTGTCAGTGGTACATGTATCAAGAACTTGTATCAAACTCTGGCCCATGGCCTCAGAATCTCAGTTGGCCAACCCTTTACCTGCAGTGGCCGTACCCATCGCCCGTCGGTTCGGGTGGCGACCCAACACAGCCAGCTCTTGGCAACTCTCTCGTCAAACACACTGACGGACACCCATCTTCATCCAACGCATGAATTGATCTCTATCACTCAACACTTACAATCAGCCCCGGAAAAACGCACGTTCAACTGGACTGACTTTTTCCTACTGAATGAAATGAACAAAAAGATAATCAGAACGCACTCTGAGTTCACCACAAATCGGGACTCAGAATATGTGGTGACTTTGTTGGCGAAAAGTTACAATTGTGCAATGATGATGAAATATAATAGCAGGTCTTATCAAATGTGCACAAAGGGAAAACAGGAATAGTAAATGCACAGAGACAGATTTAGGATAAAAAAATTACAACACAAAAAAAAATGGAATAACTTTGGCAATGGAATCAACTCGTCTGTATTATAACATCTTAAGAGGGTTCAGAATGGGGCCGCTAAGCTGATCTTCAAGGCCTGGAAGCATGACCATGTCACCCCATTGCTAAGAGAATTGCGTTGGCTTCCAGTCAAGCAACGCTTCAAATTAAAGATCCTGACTATTGTCTCCAAGAGTATCCAAAACAAAGCTCCAGAGTACATGAACTCTCTCATCCTTCCACATCAGTCCATGCGTCGTGGTCTTCGTTCTAGTACAGACAGTGCCCTGCTCCATTTTCCTCTGACATACACCACAGCTGGTGACGATGCTTTCCGGGCATGTGCTCCTAGACTTTGGAACGAGCTTCCAAGATTCATTTCTCTGTCCCCTTCTTTGGAGGTTTTCAAGAAACATCTCAAAACTCTATTTTTCGTTCAGTAATTGAATGAACCATAATATCATTTTTCTTCTTTTATTAATGATATAAAAAGCTGGGAAACAACTTACAGTTTGTAAGATCATATATCTACGACAAGTAAATTTAAATGGGAAGATTTTGTGGAAATGTTGAGGCTTTTTTTGGTTCAAACTTTACCGATAGCCACCCCCACCCAAGCAGCATTGCATCGGCCCTGGGTGTCAGAGTTGGGCACGGCCTGGTTCCATCTACTGCAGCAGTGACTGCATAGTCCGGCACGCCCGGCAGTCAATCCGAATGATCCACCAAGAGAAGGAGAAGTCCTTGGGAACCAAGTGGAGGAGAGACTCCACAGGGTCAGTCGGAAACAAGAATATCTTGGTAAGAGTTTAGACATGTAGGTGTCGTAAAACCAACCAAAAATATGGTGTCATTGTACCACATGTACACTGTACACGCACACAACTCTACAATTGAATTAAATTGGAGTTTTTATTTCTTGTAAAATGCTCATACTTGGAGTCAGCGTGTTCCCACAAAATTTCCTGCAACACAAAGTTTATCACCCGTCTCTCTAGATGCATCACGCACACTAACCACGCGATATACGGACATTGATCCCCATATTGTTGTCATGATTACCTGGCTACGTTTGTGCATAGCAGTGTGAATTTTCCTTGTCAGCAATTTATATGCTTACGTTAAAGCAGCTGTTTGTCACCTTTTTTGCGGCAAAATTTGGTAGCTTTCGTCCCCATTCAGTCAGTATAAAAAACACCAACCCTATTTTTGAGAGGCATGTGTTTGGAAGCAGAGCTATGTTTTTTCTTGGCCTTAGTTGGGACCCAAATGATACGATGTGAACATTGTAGTTTGCACCAGTTGCCATCCAGTTTTTCACATAGAAATGTTTGCCAAACCATTTTCTTTACAAACTGTAGGGCGTTGCTTCCTGAGTCAGTTTTTGCAAGAAGGTTGGAAGCAAAGGAAGTGTAGGTAGAGAAGAAGCATCTGGGTAAAGCGGTTGTTAGGAAAGGTACCCTCTCCCAACAACTTGTGGATATCCTGGAGAAAGTTACTCAAAAATGAAAGCTTTCCTGTAGCTTTCTCTGAAGGGATTACCTTGAGCCTCTTGCCTTTACATTGCCTTATGACATTGCCCAAAAGAGGCAACTCAGGATTTGATCACATCTGAGAAAGTTCAGTAGGTACGTTTTTTCAGTGACCGGCATATAGCCACGCTGAATCCACATTAACTTATCAAGTCTCCACCAAGAATCTCAATAATCCATTGTTGAAACCGGTCTGGTACCCAGAGCCCTACTAGCCATAAGCATGAGCCTGAGCGCATCCCTGTCTTGGAACGTCACACGGGTAAGGTACGGACAGGTCTGTCGGCACCCATCCAGGAACAACTCTATGACTTCCTGGAGAGGCACCCATCATATGAGGTCTTGCGTCCTGGCATGCAGCACGGCGTGGCAGCATTCTATTCATGTGAGTTCAGATTTTTGATACATTTGATGTTGAATAGGGAAACTTTTCTTCTGCAGAAAAGCATATCAGCAAAGCTGGTCTGCGATGTTAAACTAAATGTTGCTTTTGAATGGCACGCCATCCAATTTTTGGTAAAACATTTGCTGTTATCATTTGATTCACAGCAAAATCCAAACCGACAAAGGACAAGAAAGAAGAACAGATAGAGGCACGGGTCCGAGAACGTGAAAGGGAGGAGCAGCGACAGCGAGACTCCAAGCTAGAACAGAAGACAAACCCCCACAAAGACCCCAGCAGGGACGGGGAGAAAGCTAAGGAGAAAGCGCCGGTCAAGGAGAAGGCATCTGTGTCAAAGGAGAAGGCGTCTACGTCCAGGGAGAAGGCACCTAGCAAGGAGAAGACCCCAAACAAGGAACAGCCGGAGAAAAGCAAGAGGTCCGAGGAGCAGGCGAAGGAGAGCGTGAGAAGAAATGTGAGGGAGTCATTGCGAGACATGCTGGGAACAAGGTAGGACTAGAAAGGATCTTTAACCCTCCTTTAGTTTTACAGCACAAATATGCACAAGTGCCCAAGGTCACTCTCTTGCATGTTGGTGCGGTGCACAACAGGACACAGCTGTGCTTCTTTGAGGTGTTTACCAAGTGACCCAAAGAGTGACTTCAGCATAGGAGGGTTAAGGTCACACATAAGAGCTGTATAAGGCAATACATGCCGGCTTTTGCACAAACATTTGAGCAGCCTTTTAAGAAAGGATTTGATCTTAGTTACATTTTTGAAATTTACTTTTGGAATTTTTAAGATTTTAGATATTTTCCAACTGTTGTCCAGTCTTCTGTGGGTTTTTTGTTTGATATTATGTTTTGTCTTGGAATGTAAGGATTCATCTGGATCCTCACCGCATAGGCACGCCAAGTAAATGTGCGTTTGACGCAGAGCGCGCTGAGTATGCATAACTAATTTATTCTGGCTTGTATGGTCTTTGCGTACATGCAGAATGGGTGCTAGAATCCGCTTGTAACCACCTGTCTTTCTTTTGCTGATTGGAGGTGCACTTGAGGTCTGGGCGGATTATCTGATTCATAACTCATTATTTCTACGATCTTGAGGGAAAAGATTTATTCAAAATTGTGTTCATACAGTATTGCAAAAAGTAAATGCCCAATGGTATACGAACTTTCTTACCTGTCGGTTTCATGTACCGTTTCCGTTGAGGCAGTAAAAGCCATAAAGGGGGATTAGAAACCCACAAACCCCTTGCGGTCAGGTGCAAAGTCAAATCTGTTATGTACACATAAAATGGTCAGTGTACATTGAGACATTGGAGAGCTCACTATAAACGTGTGCAAAATACATAATACAAGCAATGAATCTTCTCCATCTCCCATCCGCGAGCAATTTCGATTTCAGTACTTTTTTATATCCCCCCATGATTATGTTTGAGTTTGAATTCCATGAAACGTTACTGTCATTAGGGGGACATTTGCTGACCATGTGTCACCAACCAAAATTGCTGTTTTGTTTGGACCACATGTGCAATCTCTTTTCTCGACATTGGGCATCCTTTAACTTGTCACATTTGGAATTTACGTCAGTACATAGAGTGTACTTGTACAACTGTCTCAATCCTTAGGTTACAGCTTTTAACAAGTTTGAACCTTATTTATTAGAATATCTTCTAATGTTCGTTATAAAGTTAACAGAAGAATTTCTAGTTGGCCGTGAACGTAATCAAATTCATGGCTGTGAATCGATTTTATTTCGTGCAAAAGAAACCCTTTAAAAATACCACATGTCCAAAACAAAGAAGTAATCAACTTACACAATTGAAACCCTGAAATTTATTCATGTTGGTTGGTTTCCATGGCTTGCTTGACTGAGACGTCACAGAAAATTAAATAATCAGTTAAGTTTGTACCTAATTTCCAGATGTTGACTTCTGTCTAAATCTTTTTGGACTATTTTTGAGACAAAAATTACTGGCAATATTTTCAAAACTGAATCTGTTCGGCAGAGAAGATCAGTGAAAAGAATCGAAGTTCCCCAGTATTTATTCAGCTATTTCTGGTAAAATTTGCTCCAAAAAAGATGGCGTGTACGTACTGGACAGGTTTTTACATTACCTTCAGAAAACAGCACCAGTTGTAGCTCATTCAACCCTCACTCATGTTATCTTGAGAAGAAAACTTGTCAAAACTATCCCTTTGCTCAAATAAAGTGGTCTAACGTCAGGATCCCAAAATGCAGTGATCCACAAACATTTGTATTTTAATGTCTGCTACAATTGGCTAGTTCTGCAATTTCAGAAAGACACAGGCGGCCATAAATTAAGAAGATCAGCGACGATCGTTTTTCGCCGATCAGGGTTTACAGCAGAAAGGCATGTGCATGCTGCGCAGTGTTACGTTTAAAACAATCATTGCAATGATTTTTTCATTATGCTAAAAAGACGTTTGATTCAGCTGCAGGAGATCATCTTTTTAATAGGTTCAGAAAACGCTAGATTATATGACCTTCCTTAACCGCAGAGTGTTTACTTACGTGGATTAGCAGCATCGTTTGAAGTTGGTGGGTTGCAAACACACCGATAATTCCTGGGTAACAAACCAGTATCGGGCAAGGTTTACTGTTTGCAGTATTGTAGGTTTTGCTCTTTCTAGTCAAGGCGATTTGAGTCAGTTCTCTAAATAGCGGGTGTTATGTAACCACTCAGGGTGAAAGGAGCCAAAGACCTGAAGGACTATGAAGACCAAGTCAAGAAGAAGGCCTACATGATTGAGTATGAGCTGTACCGACTGTACAATGACACAGGCTCCAAGTACAAGTCACGATATCGCAGTCTGTTCTTCAACATCAAAGACAGTAAAAACCAGGTACCAATGTAGTGACTTGTCCTTCAAGTCTAGCAATATACTGGAACATGAAGTGGCACAGAAAAGGAATTCAGCTGGAATTACTAACCAGTGTGATGTTAGCGTGCACTCATTAGATAGAAGTATACATTGGCAATTTGTAAGCA